CATTATCCTTGAGTTCGGGGGATGGGTTTTCAGAGGAGTAATGGGGAAAGGTTGTTTTTTTCTGAATATTATTTGGCAGAAAGTCAAGCAGATTCTACAATTTCACATAAATTATATCATCTGAAAGTCAGCTAGCTTCAGAACCAACTCTACTTGCTGTACCTTAGCAACCAAGAGCAGAAATCTGTTGCCACATGGAAACGGGTTGGGATTCATGACAATACTCCTTACATCCAGCCACAGTCATACAACGGGAGCATTGCATGTGTTATACACACACCTGTATCCTATTTCTGCTTAGAAAGCCTATAATTTTGGCAGTAGCAAACAACAGTGAGTGCAAAAAAAATTGAAGGTGGTTGAGTGACAACCCAAATTGTTCAGTAATTATTTTTCCCTATCCCCCACTCCTTGTTTGGCATGACTAAGCGGTCAGAATAAATGCACATTTAGTCATGCAGAAATCGCAGCCTCCTTGGGTTGCAGGTTAAGAAGGGTGTGTTGGGAAGGTACAACAGAGCCTTGTTTCAGAATTCATTTTCAGAGCAGGGCTGGAACGGAAACTCTCTGATTATTTCAGCTCCGCGCTTGCTATTTGCAAATCCAGCAAATCTTTTTGAAGAAAAGGCACACTGACATCCATTGGTCCATCAGTTATGATAGTTTCCGTCATTATGGCATTATCATTTTCATGGTTTGTAATGATAGAAAGAAATCTGTCTAGGAAAAAAAATAATTACTTTTTGATTTGTGTGTGGAGTGGGAGAGATGCCTAAGGGAAATTAAGTAAACAGCCCTGCTGGATTTTTGTTTGTTTGTTTTTCTCCTTAGCTATGATATTATTAGAGTTGAATGCTGAGCAGAGAAAAGAGAAGCACATTTGATTGTACTTGAAAGTGAATTTGAATTGAACTTTATTTGTGATCTTTCTATGTGCGTCTCTTGTGGTTGGGATGTGGAAACCCTACCAGCATGAATACTTGGAAAAGTGCACTTTAGGCTTGGATGCCTAAATGCTTCTCGGAAATCGGTCTGAATTCCCTTGCAGCTGTATTAGACAGTTCAGGGTGTGTTGTGTAGTCGCTGAAATCCCCCTGCCAGGGAACAGAAGCCATCTCATTAGCAGGTAACGAGTGTTATACCATGTGCATTTCACAACTTGATTTTTCAGTTGAGTTTTCGGTTTTTCAGTTTGAGTTTTCAGGCTATTTGTGTTAGGGGAAAGAAGCCCTGATGCAGCACAGTGCCGAAGCACTTGCTTAATTGTAAGTGTACTGAGTAATCCAACTTGGAATGCATAAATGCTATATTAAATCTTTAGGGAAGTAGTGATAGTGCTCTGAAACTACAAATGCTTGTTTTCTTAGTTATACACAAAATGTTTCTGGAATTGCTTGTCGGAGTGAATTTGATTGTGGTCATGTTTGAAAATTAAGCCCTGTTTAAACAAACAGATACATGAATGTGTTGTATATTGACACCAAAGTTCGACTGCCCATTACAAACTTTCCATATAGCCTCATGTACACTTTTGGATAAAATAGCCAGTTAAAAACCTTGTTATTTAAAAAAAAAAAAAAGAATAAAATGGAAGCTTAAACAATTTGCTGTTTGGATAAGAGCGCTGATTCTCTCTCTTCTTGTTTCACTGAGATTTAAAACAAATCTTCCTATTCCTTTTTTATAAACCTTTTACATTCTTAATTAAAAAAATCCTTACTTGCCTATTTTTCCAAAGCTTTCTTTTCTTGCTAAATGCACAGCAGTATCAGTTATCTTAAAAGAGGGGCAAAATATTTAGATCCTGTATTTGAAATTGCTTTGAATTGGTTGCTGTCTGCTACCACTGTACTAAATCCCAGCTGAGAAGATGACTTGTTGAAGCACAGCTCTAAGCACTTCAGCTTTGTTGTTGTGGCTGTTGATTATCTTTCTATTTTTACTTTTTTTCTGAGCATAATGACTGAACTGTTGGCAGTTTGGAGCTTTGCTGATGCTCCTGTGCTTGCAATGCTGGCAAAAGCAGGAATAGTAGCAGTTGTTGGAATGTTTTTTGGGGTAGGCAAAGCACAGGCAACTCAGGAGCAAAGTCATCCTAAGTAGAGATAGGAGCAGACTGAAATACTATCTAAAAACTAGGAGAAAATTCAAATACATCTCAAAAAAGTGTGAATAAAAACATGCTCTATAATTTCATTATCTGTTGATTAGGACATTAACTAGTTGGTAATAAATGCAGAGGGAAGAGCCATAGTGGAGCCAGTTCAGTACTCTGAAGAGTAAAGAACGTAACATCTCACAGGAACGTAATGCTTGATATTTCAGATGAAGACCAAGATATCCTCATTAGTGCACTTGGCTTGTTGTGTTGTATAGTATGGGAATTTATTTCCAAGCCTTTCAAAAATCAGATCGCAGTCCTACATTAAAATATTACCATTCTTATCTTTGCATGCTTAGCTGAAAATACTGGCTCGACTTGATTAAAAAAAAATTGTTCAGTTGAAGCAATACTAATTGAAACCCAAGTACAGATCTGGCTCACTAAGCGTTAGTCATAAACTAGCTGTCACTTCTAAAAATCTAGCGAAAGTATTGGACTCTCTGGCTAGTAATTCCATAAGCTGGTTTTAGGGACTGTCAAGAAGATTTCTATCTAGTTGTTTTCAATTACCTGCTGGTCATTTTATTCTAACCCTCTTATTCTTTTATTCTGCATTTCTAGTAATTCTAAATATTGCAATGAAATCCTGTGTGAGGATGGCGGTGCCTGGGAGGCTGTACGTGGCACAGACACCTTTCTTCCTCCACTCCACCTTCCTGTCCTTCCCCTCCAGCAATTCCATGCGTTTTCGCTGGCTCCGGGGAGGAGCAGGGAGGTGTGGGGCAGGACGGCAGTGGGGCTGGTGTCCCCTGCCCTCACCGCTCTTGGCAGCCCTGCTTCCCCTGCTCGAGGTGTTTCCTCCAAAGTGGGGCTGTGGCTGGGCCAAGGGCTTGCAGTTGACTCTAGCGTCCCTGGAATGTGCTTGCTGGTGGCAACAGTGTTACACCAGCCCAGGAATTGAGTGGGGAGGGGGGAAATCTGCTGACAAACTGGAGCTGAGCTGAGGCAGTAAGGGAGGCTTGTTGAATAAAAGGCTTGGAAGCAAACTAAGGGCAATGTCACAACGAAAAGCTTCTGCAGACTGAGGTGTGAGTGACGTGCCTGCTAGATGAGGTGGGAGCTGAAGAAACATCATCTTCCTGGGCCATGTTTGTTGGCTAAGAGTGAAGGGAGTGAAGCTTTTGCATTGTGGTATTCCCATCCTGGGGCACAGTTACAGGTGGGACTGCACTAACACTTGTAACGAGCACAGAAGTGAAAACAGTGATGAACACTCCCATGCGTCGTTGCTGTTTCCCTTTTGTTCCTAAAAATACAAGAACAAGTGTATGGGGTGGAGGTGGGGGGAGCAGGTGGTGTTGCTGAAGTATGGATTCTATAATTCTTACACTGTACAAAGGACTTTATATATATATATATGATGACAACATGCAATGTGTGAGTCGGATCCTTCTCAAAGCAAGGAATTAATTATGTTGCCTTTAAGGAGGGTTCATGTGAACAAGCACCTCACAGTCTCCCTGTTGTTCTGCCATTGCACCTGAACGTTTTTCTTTTATTTCAATTCCAGACTTCTTTTAGGAGGTATTTGTTTGTGTGTTGCATGACTTGTAGTAAGCTAGAATTTGTCAATATGCATGAGAATAGACGATATCTTATCTTTTGACACGGACAAGATACCGAAATTCGTAATAAGGAAATATGAAACAGTCGGACTCTTGTATTGGGTTTATCCTATCTCTGTTTGACTTTCAGAGTTCTTGTTCATTGATAATTTTATAATGAAAACCACAATACTTATTGAACACCAGTAAGGTTTTGGCATTTAAATTTCCCTGCAGTGAAGAGTTCTGTCATTCTCCTTTCCATCTCTTCAAACATGGAATTTCTTTAACTTCATTGACTGGTATCTTATTCTCCTGCTATATGAAATAGAGAACAGAAATCCTGTCTTTCCTCTGTGCCACTCATTATTTTACATACTTGCATTGCATCCCTTGAACTGTTTCCTTTTTAAGGCAAATAGTCAAAGTCTTCTCTACCTCTCCTCATCCTCGTGCAAATCCTTTGTTGTTCATATCATTATTATTATTATTGTGTGAACCCAATCCAACTTTGGAGTACCATATGTGAGATGCTGTGACTATTGCAACATGTGGTGTGCCAGAGATAAAGCTGATCTTCATTAAAGCAATATTACCTCCCTGTAACTCACTTAGCATGTTATTGCTAATTTATTCTAATACCTGGTTTCTTTCTCTGCTTTCTCTGCTTTCTCTGCTTTCTCTGCTTTCTTGCTTTCCTGCTTTCCTGCTTCCTTGCTTTCTTGCTTCCTTGCTTTCTTGCTTTCCTGCTTCCTTGCTTTCTTGCTTTCTTTCTTGCCTTCTTGCTTTCTTTCTTTGGTAAGAGTGATCTTCCTTGGGAAGTATTCTGTGACACTGAGGTGGCTTTACAGAACTAATAGAGTTTGTTGTGTAATTATATTTCCCTCCACCCCTAAGACAGGCTGCTTTTGATGCTGAGCTCATCTGGATACTGTCTTTTCACCTAAAGTTTTTAGGTTTCTCTTGAAATTATCCACTGTTGTTTCTGGTCCTTACTGAACCAGACAGTTAATTCTGTGTTGTTTATCGCCACCTTAATACTCATAATCTTTTCTAGGTCCAGAAAATTCCTTAATACAAGGAAATAATATAAGACCAAGTTTGATAAAATATCGTTTTTCCCGATGTGATAAAAATCTGATTTGAAGACTTTGGTTATACTACTTGGATCATTTGAAAAATGATTTTTATCCAGATTCTGATATCTAGGAGTCCTACATTGCTGCAGCTTTTGTTGTTGTTGTTTAAAAGCATAAAGAGCAGAACTAAGAGTGTTCCAACCTCTCTTACAGACCCTGTCCAGAAGAATTTCAAATCCATATTTGGAAACACCTTCAAACAAGGTACTTGTCAAACTTTAATTCAATTTTATAAAACAATATAGTAGGAATCTTTTTATTTCGGTTCAATTCCTTAATCACAGATTGAAGACATTTCTGAATGTGGCCTACAATTAAATCCAATTAACATTATAGTTTTTGTGTGTTAAAAACCTGCTTATTTCTATTATATAGTTAAATAAACTGAATTGTATTAAATCTTCATGCACACTTACTTCAGAGCCATTTAAACAGTTTTGCATAGTTTTGTGATTTTGTGGAGTTTGAGAGCTCTGTTTTTGCATTTCTCAAGACTTTAGTGTCTTAGGTTTATTTCATGTTCCTTGAAAGATTCCAAGTCATAGGAACCAGAAAAGGTGAAAGGAAAGCTTTTTTTTTCTTGAAGTTATTTTTATTACTGCTACGTTTGTTGGTACCATCATAGGTTGGGACATCATTACAGAAATTTAAGTTAATTTTCTCAGTATCCTTACTAATAATAGTAATATATAGAGTCCAGGTAGAACATATGTAAATGGAAGATGGGAGAAGGAGTCATTTTCAGCATTAAGGTTCAAGGTATGAATCAGGTCTGAGGAAACTCAAAGATGTGTCCACTCGGAAAGACAACATCCTTGCAGCAGGGTGTGGATGGGCTGACCTCCAGCTGTCAGAAAAGCTCCATGGTTTCTAAAGAACAAGAAAAAATGATGAAGTAGCAGCTCAGGATGTTTTAGGCTTGTTTTAAATGGTTAAACCAAGATACATATAGAATAATGTTTGCTTTTTGTTGTATTTCTGGTTTTGCAGTGATAAGACGGGGTATGTCAGACATCGGGGTGCACTGAGTGCTTATTGCTCAGCAGGGGAGGAAGCGTTGCCCGGAGGGAGTGAGAATGGGAGAGTGTACAGGGCAAGGTCATTTACTACTTTGGGAATAAATAATCCCTGTTTGTCACAGTTTACGATTTCTGTTTTCATTTAGATATACGGAGAAAGCTCTTCCTGTGCTGGGAGAGCTCTCAGGAATATTTTTACACTACAAGCTTCCGACCTGATTAAGGACAGGGTATGCCTTACTGGAATATGCAGGTAACCCCAGCATCGTTCCCTTTAATCAACTGGATATGTTTTTGTTTACATTTGTTTCGGCTCTGATTTGACAGCACAGTAAATGCACAGGGTAGGGGGTTATCTGTGTTTCCTAAGCATCTAAAATATTTTCTAAATTGTTTTTCTGAAAGTCTCATGTATTTAATATTATTTCCTATGTTATTCTATCAGCTGTCAGAAAGCAGCAGTGGCCTGATTGTATGTCCATTAATTTATTTGCTTATGATTTCATATACAGTTCTGTTTGTCTATTCTTTTGTTAAAATGAATTTTGTTAAAACATAGTGCCTTTGCACATAACTTGCAGAATGTTTTGTAATGAAATTTACCCATTTTTTGTTACATTGCAGGATATATATTTCCCCCAATTTTCAATTATGCCAAGTGGACAAGGGTCTATTATGGCACCATTCATTCATATCCATATATAAGAACAAGCCCAAATTCTGATTTGATGAATTAAAGAGAGATTTATCAATAATGTGCCAGATGAAGTACATCCTAGAGAAATATTCAAGGTATTGCATTTGTATTGTGTAGCTGTACTGCCTGTAGAAAGTAAATGAAATCCAAAAAGTTGGATTTTATTTAGTCATAAACATCTTTGGATGACTGCATGGAGCACATATTGATAAAGAAAAATCTATACTGTCAAATATGCCATGCAAATTAGGTATGTAAAGGAGTATAACACTGAAGTCCTTTGTAACTAGGGTTATCCGACTGAGATCTTCCAGAACACTTTCTTCCTTGAAATGATCAAATTGCAAAAAAATGGAGTTTGCTTTGGTGAACGGAGGATTCCCCTGGGTGACTTATAATAACTAATAATATCATTAAATTGCATGGTAACGTTACTGATTTTGCGTGTTTTCAGGAGAAGCTGCATTGGGTCGGAGCTGGTCGACTGGCTTCTGGAGCAATGCCCTTTTGTTAAGTGCCGATCGACAGCCGTGGGTGTGTGGCAGCTTCTGCTGGATATGGGAATTGTGCTGTCAGGTCAGTGCTGGTGGTACTTCTAGCATAAGAAAAGTTGGCAGATTCTTCCCGAATATTTGAGAGTTACATTTTTGATGGAAAATGAAAAATGGGAAGAAAAAAAAATGTGCTGATTGTTTCATTTTTTGTTAGGGAATAGTTTATTTTAGTATCTATTCTGCAGGGTTACCTCTGTGACCTTTCATTTCATAAACATCAAGATCTTTTTTTTTTGATTGATTGATTTCCTTCTTTTTACCTCTGCAAATGTAATTGACTGTTGCCGAGTTGCAGACTCTGTGTGTCTATTCCAGCCTTCTTTCCCCTTGAGCTCTTTTAGGTTTTCCGCAAGACAGTGGATTCCATTGCAGCTCCTGGATTCACCAAATTACTTCTCTAGGAATTAGTGATCTTTCCTAATTTTCATAATTTTAGAATACAATGGTCTGAGAAGGGGATTCAGCTCCTCGAGAATGTTGTGATGATGGATCCTTTCCATCTGTCCCCTCTTTCCTCCTAAAATTCTGGGACTTGGTCCAGACTGTGTGGTTGATGGTCATTGCACTGCTAAGCAATCTCTGGAGTTCTGTTGTAGCTGGGACCACTTTGGTAGTTTAAGTCAGTGCATATCCAGCCCTAAGGTAGGCATTTACCTTTTCTCCTTGCAAAAAGGTGAGGTGTTTTGGAAGACTTCCACTTACCTGAGGAGACATTGAGCAACTTAAAAGTATTGCTTATTATTGACCTTTGTGCATCCTAGCCTGGGATGGATTAGATGCTAATGAAAACTGAAGCTCAGAAATCTGACAAGTCCTTTATCTTACAGGCATGTCCCCTAGTTCTAAACGCTTCTATTGATCAAATTGATAGTTTTAATGCTTGAGTCTCAGAAGGCTGGAGATCTTCAAACTGAGATTTTTGGCTTGAACTGTTTGGAGTTAATACTAGAGGACAGGGTTGCTCCTGGCTGTTTGGGCTCCTTTTGCTCTGTATGGGGTTGCAATGCAGGGTTCGGGTCAGGTGCCATATGGAATGCAGTGAGACAAAGAACTTCTATTTGCTAAAGGGATAACAGATGTCTAATATTTATTTCAAACAGTGGACAGACAACTGTATTTTCAAGATACCCATGCTTTCTACCAGTTCTCAGCAGATGAATGTACCTACCTATTCTGTGAATTTGAGAGAGATGAAGGATGGAAGAAGGGTGTAAAGCTCCTACTTCAACTACTGCCATTATCTCCTCACAGAATTGACATGTGCAATCTGTAAGTATGTACATACACCTCTCTTCAATTTCTGCTGACTAAAAGTAAGTCATTGGCCGATAATGACATTGTTCTCCCCTGAGCCACTGTACAAATGAGACTGTTTTCTTTCCAGCATTGGCAAGCTTTGTAGAGATGAACTCTTCTATGATCTGCATTAGCACTTGCAATTAGCACTTGGGAACGTCAGTGTCACTAGATGGACCGTGGCACTTCAGTTGAGTCTCTTGGAGTTTCGTGGCTCTTACACAAGCTCTGACTCTAGCTTGCTGTATTACCCGAGCAAATTGCTTCACATTTTTTTGTTTCTTGCATTTGAAGGTTTGACATGAATTTGGCTCTATGCACGCTGTGGAGCTGATTGACTAGCAGATCAGATGCCTGTGTCCTGGGTCAGGACCAGCTCTCAAGTGGATATAGAAGGCTGCTAGGAATTTTGCAGCTTTTGTCACCTGATTTTGTTTGTCACTGCATGTTTTTCAGAGATCTGTAGTTTCAAATTATTATTCTTTTTGCAGACTATGCTATTTAAGAGTTTCCCTTCCTGTGTGCCTCCTCTGCCACCTGACTGTTGGATGTTAACATCCGCTCTGCGCTGATCCAGCTGTGCTCTAAGCTTGGTCTGTTTAGCAGCTAGAAAGAAACCATAGCTATTTGTACCACAGTGGGAAGCCAAAGTACAGAGAAAAGGTGTCAGTGAGAAGTCTGAAGGCTAGTGACCCCTCATGCCCTGGAAAATCTTCATGGGCTGGCAGTATAGAAAAGATAGTGTGAAATCTGTTGTTCCTAGCATGATAAAGCCTCAAATCTCTTATTTATATTGTAGAGAGTTATTCTTGCAGTAATAGGATTTATCCTCTTTCATGTCAAAGACAAACCTATAAGTGCTTTCCTTTCTACTGCTTAGATTCTAAAAACACATTCTGACAAGTAAATGCCTAAAGGGCATATTTTAAGTGAGTGCAGAGCCAAATTCCCTGTAAGCTGTTTCCAGTTTTTAAATTCCGACATTCAATCTGATTTTTAGAGGTACTCATTGAGAATTTTTCGGTAATTTCCCTGCATGACTCGGGGCAGAAACTTCATAATTTCTTGTGTTGCTGAGGACCATCAGCAAACAGAAATTGCCAGTTCTGGAGTGATGATTCTCTTGGTCAACTTGATGTTTCAGGTTTGGGTTAAAAAGGTGTCTTGACCTTGGTCAGAGAGTGGCACTATTTTGTAGTGTGCTTTGCTGTTTTATTATTTCAGTACAACTGTCATTTCTAGTGCAGGATTTTCCCCATTGTATGAATTGAACAATTATTCATTAATGTACATTTCTAGCTCCTTCCTGCCTGCATTATTCAAATTTTGGTTGAAGTTGGATTTCTTTTGGGAACATTGTCACTGAAGAATTATTTTCTGGAGGCATTATGTGTCAGATTGTGAGGGTGCTTTTTTCTTTTCGTATATGTTGAAGGAATATAATTTTAAATAAATCTGCAGCCTCTAGGGAGTGTGATCTTAAAGGAAAAGAGGTATTTTCAGTTTCAAAATTCTCTATGCTCGATGCAAATAATAATAAACTGCTAAAATGCATTCTGAATAGGAAGTAGATGTGATGAGGTGATTGCTGAAGTTATTGACCAAGTTAAATAAACCCATATATTCTCTTTCATGAGGCAGAGAAAGGCAATTCCAAAAAGCTCTGTCTTGGAATGAATGTTTGCTTTTTCTCAAATAAAGATATAAACTGTTTTTCTTTATGCTCTAATACTTTTTTATTCATTTTCACATCTTTCAGTTTTTCTTGTAGCCTGTGTATTCTTATTCACACGAATGTGCATATGGACAGAACGGTTCTTACTTTCTTTATTCATGAGATTCCCTGCTTTGATAAAATCCGAGGAAGCGGCCTGCTTGTGCCCCAGCAGGCCAAGCCGGACATCCCAAGCGCATCCTACCAGACCGGCTCTGCCTCCTGCGCAGCTAGAGGAAGGTCTTGCACATGGGCAGCCTCCTGGGTGTATCCGTGATGTCTGGGATGGATCTGCAGACAGGAGGCTTGTAGCTGCTTTGGGGACTTCCCTTCAGCAGGTCTTCTAGAAATGAGCAGGTCCCCTTGCCATTAAATACGTGTGGCAGTGTCTTGGCTCGACGTACGTATTTTTAACAGATTTGTGCTTGTTTGTTTCTTGGCAGTGGCTTCTGACCTATCTTGATCTTGGTGCTTCTGGAATCAACCCAAGCATTAAAAATTCTCAGCAGAAACACTATAGTAAAGATCAAATCCTGGCATTTGGAGTGTGTGTATAACATTTTCTCTATAAATATCTTCTCAGAAGCTATTGGAAAACCCATTTCCAGCAATACCAGCAACCCCATATTTTGTTTCACTGAATATATTTATATAAAAGCTAGCGTGAAGGGAATCCAAATAATACTACAGTAAGTTTTATATTTAAAATGGTGTTCTAAGGCCAGAGAGTTGCTTGCAATTCCTGAAGAAATGTTCCCTATTCTGGGCTTCAACCTTGCACTGAACACAGCCTTTCCTTTTTTGGGTGGAAATCTACCATGAAAAGCAAGGCGGGACTCTGGGGGCTTTCCCAGCTCATGCTAAACTGGAGGTTAGTGTTGGTGCACTCATCCACAGGCTGAAAATGGTGCTGGTTGAAGGATGTGGAATTGATACAGTAGCCTTTTGGGATCATAAAACGCTCTCTGTTAATCACAGCCCAATTCTGCTTGGATATAAAAGAAGTGAATATTGCGTGAGCCTGGGAACAAAAGATCTGTGCTTAGAGCTCTGAACTTCCTTACAAGCTTGGGCAGTCGCTCAGGCTCTCATCCAATGCATTTTGAATTCTTTTTCCAGAGATGGCAATGGCATCGTATCGGACTTTTAATCTTTATGTGCTTCTATTTCCTGCTCTGCAAAATGGGGGTGTTTATAATAACACCTAACTCCCAGGACGAGCGCTAGACCCAGTGGATGCAAGTAAAATGCAGTGAGTGCCTCAGCCTGCTGGACTGTGTCTCACAATATTTGTTTAGTCATTGGAAAACATGTTAACAGGGAACAAGGATTATTTTCCTTTTGCTAATATTTCTCATTGTTTTCTTTTCAGAAGTGTTACACTGTATTCTGCGTCTTCTGCCCCGAAATAATTGTTTCCTTGACATCTAAAAACCAACCCCTTTTAAGAGTGAATTGTGTTTAATGTGAACATCCAGGAGTGTTCATATAGTTAGTGCCTTTGGGACTGCCTGGAAAGCTTTTGCTGGAAGCAGACATCTCGGAGATACTCTTGGGTCTTTCACTCGGGCTGCGGTGCTGCCTTGGCACCTGGGCTCCCGTGTGGAGCCCGTGCAGCCGGTGGCCCCTGGGGCAGCTGCTGGGGAGGCAGCGCGGGGGCTTCGGAGGTCTGTGGTGGAGCGCGTGCCACCCGGCTGCAGGCAGGTCTGACAGGCCACTGCATCTTGTCCTGCTCAGCATGCTGCAGAGCACAGCGATCGCTGGCTTTGTGGCAGTTAGACCTGGCCTGCGTTTTGGATCTGCTGTTGAGTACCAGCCCTGCTGGGTCTTGGCTGGCTCCTTTGGAAAGATATAAGGTGGTACCTGTCCTGGTTCTGCTCCTTGATATCTGTTCTACCTTATTTTTCCTACTAGTTTTCTGTTAACTTCAGTGTTCCAACATCCTCTTGGTCTCTGATGTTGGCTTGATGCCTGAAATCACTTTTTCATTAATATTTTCTTAAGTGTTTGATGCTTATATGCATAGGAAGATTGGGAGTACAAAGAGATAAAAATCTGGGATGGAAATAGCTGTGCCGTATGCTGTTCTGGTATTGTAGATTGTATCTGTAGCTATGTCTGCTCAACTGCTATTTTTTGGCCTCCAGTAAAAATAAAAATACACATTATCCTGATACTGAGAAATCATGGGAGATCAGAACAGATCAGATGTGTGAGAACATAGGCATCTAAAGAGGTCAGCCATTTTAATCGTGTTTCAAATTGTAAGGAAGAAACTGAATCAATCGGTCTTTGCAAATGAAGCAGTGTTCATTTAGTTCTTTTGACTGTTTATAGCACTTAAAATGTTAAATCACATTTTTCTTTGAATAGAAAAGTCAGCCATGAAAATAATTATGATTTAAAATCCAGGTTACCATTTTGGTCTGAATATGCTTACCCTACAGTGAAGGCATGTGTCGTCTTATGCTTTCTGACCTTAATTTTTTAATTAGAGGAAGAAATTTTTGGACATGGCATGTAAGAACCACAGTATACCAGCTGCATATTCCAGACGTGTTGTGTGCTGTCTCTCTAAACACATCAAAGCTTATAAGCAATTAAATAATTTAGTCAAAGATAGAAGCTTCTGCTAATACCTGGGATTTATGTTTATCACAACAGCTGCAGTTTTGCATATCGGCTCAGCTTGCTGGCACGCCACACTTCTTGAAGAGAAAGAAAAGGAAAGATCTCAGGACTTTTTTCTTCTTCCTATTTATATAATCCTATCATACTTGTATCTTTCTTCCTATTATCAATAACTCTTTCAAAGGATTTAATGTTTTGGTGATGGGAATTAGACTGTGTAACTCTTTCAATGTTTTGGTGATGGGAATTAGACTGTTTTAAAAGACAATTACAGTTTTACTCCATGCTTTCTGCAGCAACTTTTGTTGCTATTTTTGTGGGGTGTTTTGATTGTTTATTTTTTCCTTTTCTTTTCTCCATGTGGGTCGGGGTTCTGTGACAGTTGCTAGAAAGGTTCTTCCTACACTTCCCTATTTTTGCAAAAGGCACAGAGAATCGCTGTCCTGTAAGCTGGTGTAAGTTTAACCTGTAAGTTTAACTTTGTACTTAGTTTGCTAGTTTATGGCTTGTTCCATGTATTCATTTCATTTTCATATTTTCCTTTAAATATCAAGATTCACAGGTCCCATAATGATTTTCATGATGTTTGCTTTTATATAGATGAGCAGGCAGTCTATAGAAGGTGTTGCACCACACTTCATCAAAACTGAGTAGTCGGCAGATGGAAAACTCTATGCTCTGTTGACAGATGTATTTTTAGCAGAGCAAAACGTACATTCTAATATGCAATTCGGAGTTAAGAAGGTCCTGCATTCCTCAGTTCTGCATATTTTAGAATGGAAGAATTGTCATCACTGTTTTACATCAATCCAATCAAAAGAGGTCTTGACAGCAAGGGACAAGGGGTGTACTCTATTGTTACTGACACAATTAATTACTGTCATGCTGCAGTTATCTTTTTGATCAGAATCTCAAAAATCCTTTTGCTTTAGTGCCTTTGGCCATATGCTTCTTTGCTTTCTAGGAATCAAAAGATGTTGGAAGAGAATGACAGAAATAATGTTTTTATTTTTTTTTATTTTTAAGGCCTGATCAAAAAATAGAAGATAGAGCAGAAACCAATGCTGAAATTCTCGCTCGCCTCACTTCTGCGGTAAGGTCAATGCATCAAAGTTGGTACTGATCCTATTTGAAATATTACTGTGTTTTGTATCCTATCAAATAAGGGCTAGGTCTCAGTGGAGCAGATGTTTGTAATGCAAACTACTTTTTCTTTTTTCTTTTTTTCTTTCCTCTGAAAAGAGGAAGCTTTACTGGTGTCTTAGTGTGTGGTTTTACAATTATTTAAATAAATAATTTGTAATCCATGCTATTCCTGACCCAGGGAATACCAATTTGGGTGATCACAGTGACTTTTTTTGCTAGCTCATGTTCATTCAGTCAAGCGAACATCAGTGTAAGCATAAGGTTGGGTAGCGGGCAAAGGGAGAGGAAGAGCCTCAGTAGCCTTGGCTTAGGGTGTTGTTAGCTTCTAAGGAGTTGCACCTGGTAAACCTGGGTATCTGGCTTCCCTCCTATGTATTGCTTCAATAAACTACATTGAAATCAATGACAGCTTATCCTGTCTGTGCTGGATTTTGGGGTATCTTGTTTATCTTGTTCTAAGAATTGGATAGGACTAGTGAAAGTTAAGCTGGACTGACTAGGTTTAACATGATCTAATGACCTGGAGGATGGGATGAAGTGTTTACCCTGCAAGCCTGCAGGTGCTACAAAACTGGGAGAAGTGGGTGATACACCAGAGTTGTGCTGTTATTCAGAGGGATTTCAACAGGCTGGTTAGATGGGCAAGAAGGGCAAAGGAGGAGTTTGCTGAAAGGCAATGAAAAGTCCTGCCCCTGGGGAAGAATAACCCCAAACATCAACACACACTGGGGCCAGGCAGCTGGTGAGCAGCTTAGCAGAGAAGACCCTCCTTGGGTCTTTTGGTGGGTAATATGAGCCAGCAGTGTGACCTTGAGGTTTCCCAGAGGGTTTGTGGAGTCACCATCCCTGGAGATATTCAAAACTCATCTGAACACAGGTACCTGTTCTGTGGAACTGTGCTTTAGGCAGTGGGATTGGCCTGAGTGATCTCCACAAGTCTCTGCCAAGCCCAGCTATCCTGTGCATCTGTGAACACCACCCTCATGGAAGAGGGTGATGCACTATCCTCACTAGCACATGGATTCAGTTCTAGTTCTGTTCTGGGTACGTGAGGTAAAGATTAATCAAGCAGGGTGAAGAAATGGTCATGAAAAAGGCATGAAGGTAAGAGCTATTTAAGTAAAATGAATAAAGTACCCTTTGGAGCTTGCTGAAAACTGAGAGGAAAAATGAATTTATGTTAAATTCTGTCAGCCATTTTTATTTTGTGGCTTTGGAAAAATAGTGTTTTTATATGTCCAGAATCTTATGCAAAAATAATTTAAAATGTATGAGGTTATAAAACTTTGTGTTTTAAAATTATTTTTTATTTTCTGCTTTCCCTGTATTCATTCCTTTTTTTTCCCCTACTTTTTTTCTGACACTGAAAACAAAAGAAGGGAGAACTCGAAACCTAGACTTGCTTCATTTTAAAATGTATTGAGAAGAAGTACAAAAACATAAAATACAAACCTACCAGCTTGATAATGCTAAAGTATTACATAGTTGCCTATAAAGTTTCCTTCCTCAAAACTAGAAGTTAAGAAAAAGGTAGGACAACAAATTGACCTTAAGAACTGAACCTAGCTTTTGCTACGTACCTTTGAGTAAAATGCTTATCCCTAAGCACATGAGTAATTGTCACAGAGTTCACAGAGCTTCACATCTGTCTTGCAGGGTCAAACATTTGAAATGTGTCATTAGTGATTCCAGCAGCAGGGGACATGGATTTTTTTTTTAAATTGAGCCATTTTACAGCTGTAAAGAAAAAAAAATAGTCCATTGCATTTCCAGATGGTCTGAGAGCCATCCATTGTCACAGAATCATAGAATCATAGAATGCTTAGGGTTGGAAGGGACCTCTAGAGGTCATCTAGTCCAAACCCCCTGCACACGCAGGGTCACCTAGAGCACGTGGCACAGGACTGCGTCCAAGCGGGTTTTGAAGATCTCCAGAGAAGGAGACTCCACAGCCTCTCTTGGTCATGGCCAAGTCAAGACAAGTGATCTTTGCTCCTGGGTTTTCTGTTTGTCCACAGAATTGTAATTGGTCTTTGTTCCCAAAGAGACACATTCAAGCTCTCTGTTATGATTTTCTAGTCTACATTTTTTTTCTAGTCTACATTAATGATTTTCTAGTCTAACCCTACAGGACAAAAAACCCTACAGACAAAAAACTCCCCTAGTCCAGAGTCCTTCAAATATTAACACCTGTAAATGAACTTCTCCCTCTAAGAAAAGCTGAAATATAATCAGAAAACATGCTTTCCTGCTATCTATCTATGTAGCACAATAAGTTTCTGTTATTTTGCTAACAGCCTCTGCTTGTTTTCTGGAACAAACTGTGCTCAGTAATTTTAAGGCATAATAGGTAATAATTACTAGAATATGAAACATGTATATTTTAAGCTATTTAAATCTCCCTTCTTAATCAACATATCCATTATTTTCTGAAAGGTTACTTAGGCTCCATTGGTAAGGCATTCCCTTGCTGTAAAGAAAATATAGAGTGGTTAGCACCGACATATGCATTTGTGCAAGTTGGGTAAATTCCTCCCTCTGCATTGTGCATTTTGTGTGTGTGTGTGTGTGTGTGTTTTTGTTTCTTTGCTGATTTTCTGTCTAAGCCTTTCTCTTATTACTTATTCTCTATATTTGCTCATTCTCAAGTGGTGCTTCTTTTGTACAGTTGCACTTTTCACATTCCCTGCACAATTTGTGATTTTCTTAATGATTCAGCCAGTCTAGAACAAATTAGTTGGAGAGGTGTGCGCTTGGTTTTAAACAACAGTGATGGAAAAAATAGCAATGGTTGCTATGAATGATGCCAAGTTAGTAGGGCAATAGGAAACAACTTCAGTTTTTCTTTTCTCGTCATCTTATTTTGTAAATAATGTATAGAATATGTATCTTGCAACAGGCTCTGTTCTTCAAAAAGATGAGAAATTAACTTTCTGAGGGTCTCACTTTTTATCTACACTCTGTTCTATGATGGAAGAAGCAGAATCTGTCAGAATAACTGAATGTAGCCTATCGAATCCTTTGCTTATATCCTCCAGTACAGCGAGGCACTGACAACACTGCCAAACTTAATTTTGTAAAGGAACTGACATGCAAGCAGTGTGAAGTGCCATTTGAAATGCATTTTGCATTGGATAATCTTTTTAGTCATGAATTTTCAAGAAAATGTAACGATCACTTCTGGGTTTAAGGAAATATTCCGAGGCTCCAGAGCATTTCAAAAAGCAGCTTCATAGCCCATATCTTGTTGTACTGTCTGCTAAAACCAGAGCTCTGTGGAATGGCTATGAGTTTACACTGCAAAACTCTTCTCTTGCCTTGTGAGGGAATAGAATATCGTGATGTTTATGCAGTATATCTGGGAAATACAGTTTCCAAATCCTTTGGGAAGTCACCCAGTACTACCATTGTTTGGAATACATAAAACTGTCATTAACATATAAAAATATGAATTAAATGTGCTTTTTTTTTTCTTTTCACTCTGAATTCTGCTGTTTAGAGCTTCCTGTAACAGGATTTTTGCTTTGAGATTCTGTAAGGCCTGCCACTTTGTCCATAAATTTCCAGTCATGTTTGGCACATTAAAATCTAGAATATTCTTTCATAAAGGACTACTACAGGCCAAAAAAAAAAGAGAGAGTGGAAAAAAAGTGGAGATTGATATGTGTTTCCTACTAGATGCACATCTATGCCTTCTACAATAAAATGACTGGATTCATGGACCACAGGAGATCAGTAGATGTTATTTTGCTTTAGCGAGGTTTTCTATACCACCTCCTGTAATATTCTTGTATTGAATGAGCCAGCAATGTGCCCTTGTGGCCAAGAAGGCCACTGGTCTCCGGGTCTGCATTAGAAGGAGTGTTACCTGTAGTTTGAGGGTGGTGATCAGCCCTGGTGAGGGCACATCTGGAATATTTTTTGCAGTTCTGGGCTTCCCACTACAAGAGGACATGGAGCTGCTGGAGAGAGTCCAGTGATGATTAGGGAGGGGACCGGAGCATCTCTGCTATGAGAGGTTGAGAGAGTTGGGCCTAGTCAACCTAAAGAAGAGAAAGCTGAGAGATGATCTTATCCTACCTTACGGAGGATGTGGCCAGACTCTTTTTAGTGGTAGCCAGCAATAGGACAAAGGACAACATCCACAAACCAAAGCACAGGAAGTTCTGCCTGAATTTGAGGAAAAACTTCTTGACTTTTCAGTATCCTGGAGGAGGCGACTATGGTGCTTGCTTCTCATGTTTCCAGGTGAGAGCAAGTTGAGGAGTGCAGTCCATATTCTGGGGGATAGAATAACCCAAAAGGGCTGAGGGAAAGGACCAATGGGAACCACATGAAATTTAGCAAGGACAAAGTGCTGACTGGGATGTACTGGCATGGTCCAGGCTGGAGCCTCCCTGACTGGGGAGCAACTCTGCAGAAAAGGATCTGGGGGTCCTGGTGAACACAAGCTGAGCAAGATATGAGCCAGTACTGTGCCATCACAGCAAAGAAAGCCAACAGCATTGTATTAACCAGGCGATGTTAACAGGGTTGTATTAACAGAATCATAGCTAGTAAAATGATGGAAGGGATTTTTACCCTTTACATGAAACTTATTAGACACCATCTAGAATCTGACACCCAGTTTTGGGCTTCTGGTATAAGAAATAAATCGATAAACTGAGGAGCTGGAGCCATCTGTGCAAGGCAGGGGATGGCAGGCAGCAGGGATAAGGTGGAATAGGGGAGAATCATAGAATCATAGAATGCTTAAGGTTGGAAGGGACCTCTAGAGATCATCTAGTCCAACCCGCTTGCACACGCAGGGTCACCTAGAGCACGTGTCACAGGACTGCGTCCAAGCGGGTTTTGAAGATCTCCAGAGAAGGAGATTCCACAACCTCTCTGGGCAGCCTGTTCCAGTGCTCTGTAACCCAGATTGGATATTAGGAGAAGGTTTCTCAAGGTGAGGACATGGTAGCAGCGGAACAGGCTGTCCAGGGATGTTGTGTCCAGTCTTCATTTTGGGAGGTTTTCAAGACCAGATTGGAGAAAGCCCAAAGCAACCTAATCTGCTTTCATAGCTGCCCCTGCTTTGAGCAGGAGATTGGTTAGAAACATCCTGAGGTCTCTTCCCACCTGAATTATCATATGATTCTGTGGAAACAGAACCCCAGTTCCCCGGTTTTCACATTTTTATGCCTTTTAATTGTAGTGAAACATTTTTGGGAAAATCTCCACCTCTATCCTTTGAAGTTGGGAAGAATCTCCATGTAAATATGCCATTTATTTTTAGTTAAGCACAGCGCTGAACAGCACTATATATACATACTTTTGCTGTTTCATACTGCAATAAGAAAACTGAGTAAGTTGTGGTAGCATACTAACGTACTCAGTCTCTTTTAGACTGTCGTATTTTTTCTGTAAATTCAATATGGTAAGCTGGCTTTTAAACTACATCAGTTTTGACGTTTGCATTGTTACCAAAAATGGGATACTACTTGCATAGTATTTGCTTTGTAGCGGCAAATTAAATGTGTTAACTGATTTTTTTTTAATATCTATTATCTCAATTTATTATGTTAGGCATAGCTCTTTGAATGTATATTTTACTTTGAGTTCAGATTATTATCTGCAATGTGATGTGCAACCATCGATTTTGTCAAACAGGCAGTAACTGAAATCCTATTAGGAAGAAGCATGATAATGTGTAGCATGGGTGCAGTGAGGGATGAATGCTGTACACAGATTTCCATCGGTGTAATGGTGCATAGGAATTGCCCATACAGCAGAGATGTCAAGTGCATTTATGCTAAAATAGGCAAAAGCATATAGATTATGAAATCTAGGGGCACCAGGCAAATCCAGGAGGATGTTCAGCAGTATCAGTTCTTTGTGATTTGATTGAATCCTATGAGAGAAGCTCAGACAGAGAGGGTGAAACCCTTTGATGAAGGAAAATTTGCTTAATACTAAGACCAAAGAAAATCTTTCTCTCGCTTTTTTAATTTAGAAGTTTAACTCTGATTAAATAGTATACCATCTACATTCCAGGCACACAACAGAAAATGAGGTATTTTACATAACGCAAACAAAAAACAGAAAAACAACTTTATTGTGACCTGTGACCATTAGCACTCTCTTTCAGGCTTAAAGCAGTCTAGCAGCAAAATTGATCCTGTAAATATAATCCCAGAATTCTACAAATGCTTTTTTTTTCCAGTTACTAAGAATATGATCTTGTCTAGTTTTCTCTACACACATGGAGAGATTTGCATTTTTTCAATTCTGTTTGATTTGTTTGATTGGTCATCATTTGTTTGATGTTTACAACTGTTGCAGATTATAGTGTTTTGTAAAACTAATCCTGAGGGAATATATTTATTAAATACTAAAAGATGAAGGTGAGACATGACTGCACTGTTTCTTATCGTCAGTAGTCTGTGAGAATAGACCAGGTTGGGAGCATGGACATCCTCTTGGATTGATACCTCCTCTAGTGTTTAATGCTTGCATCTTGAGAGGGGTCTGTTTAACAAAGTCTGAGCAATTTAACCAAGAAAAGTACTGGTGGTGTCATCCAGAAACAACATGTTGGATTTCTTTTTTTTTTTGAAAATTCACTCTAACTCTGAATAGCTTGTATGTGTTACTACTAGGGTGTAGTAATTCCTGCAAGTAATCTTGTAAATTGTTTTACCAAAAAAGGACCCTTCTTTCCCATAGTATTTGCAGTTTATGATTATGTTAGGCATGATTAACAGCTCTCAAGACATGGGAACGGGTGTGCAGGAAGGAAGGAAGTGAAGGTAATGCTGCCAGCTTGCACAATTGTGCTGGAAACAGGATGGCGTTTAGGAAATCTGTGGCACTGCCTGCGTACTCTACTGCTCCGGGTAGCAGAAAACCCTGTCCCTCACAGTGGGGCAGTGTCAGGGAATAGCAAAGATCCTTGTGCTTTGCAAGGACAGCAAAAATGCTCCCAGGGCAAGACCCAAGGAGAGATGGGAATGTATTTGCGAGGCCTGTGGCAGGATCTCCATCTGCCACAGACAGAACGTGTTGTGCAGTGGCTGCTGGACAGCCTGTCCGCGGGCTCTGGGGTTATCATGGCACAGAGATGTCCCAAGCTATTTTGTCTTCTCCTGACACAGCAGGGCCCATCTGCCTCTGCTCAGACCAATATAGTATTACATATTCTTGTTTCACTTTTTAAAGCTTTTCAGAGACGACAGGGTGAGATGTGGACAGTTGTTTGTAATTGTGTTACATCAGGGACTTTTCTTGGGCCAGTGCCTTATTCTGACCTGTATTATAAGTCTTATGATTGATGCTCTTTTAAATTTCACATGCTCTCAGAAACTGGATATCAAAAAGTGGTATCTCAGAAATTGGATATCAAAATTCCTACTTCCTTTTGCCATAGCTGCAAGGTGATAGTGAGGAGGTATAAAGCATGAATATGAAATATTGGACAGCATAGAATTTTAGGGATAGGAATAGGAAAAGACCTATGGAGAGAAGTGGATACAGGGTTAAAGAGCCTCTGCCTGATAATACAAAAAGTATAGGGAAAGCACAGAGAATGCAGAAATGCAGACAGGAGGTTGAGGAAGGCAGTTGACTAGTATGGCAGCATTATTCTGTCACAGGCTGGCAAGATAACCTGTAAATCGGATAACTCCAATTGTGTGCGTTCATCTCAAGTTAGATTTTGGTCCTGAAATGCTCAGCCAAGCTCTTTCTTAGGAGAAGTTGCTTCCCACTTTTGGCACAAAAATAGAAATGTCAGTTATATACATGAACCTCAGCATGGCGAATTTGCCTTAACCTGGAGCCAGACAATAAATCCAGCATTATAGTGTGTTCAGCAGAGGGAAAACAAACATTTAACATGAAAAGGAGGGAGTGTTAAGTGTGTGCTTGTGAAGGAGACACACTGAGCAAATAAACTACAGGTCAGGCTACTGAATTGCTCTTTCCCCAAGGAATGCACAGTACTTGTATGAAATTAAAGTTTAAAAATATTTGTCATAGAATTCCCAGATGAAAAGAAAATAGTGTAACAATAAGTGTAACAATAAGTGTAGTTTAAAAACTATCTGTAAAATTTCATATGCACCTGACTGCTCCATATGATTCATATCCTGTATCTTACCAGTGTTGCATTTTTTCCCGTTTGACTGTATATTGGTAACTATAACCATCCTCTGTCTTCCTGGTATTTTAGGTACAGAGAGAACTGGCTGCTGTCATTGCCTTGAAAGCAAGGAAGTCAGGTGAGTCAAGTTGGACTTGAGACCTTTTGTTATAGGGTTCCCTTTTGTCATTTATTGAAGTATTTGATTTTTCATTGACGTCTTAATGACATTAGGAAGCAAAGAAAGCGGACATTATTCCTCACTGAGGGCATTGTTTAATGGAGAATGTGTGTATACAGCACAATGCGATTACTGTTCAAGATTTTCTTTCCTTAGCATTTCACATCTAATGACCTAGCTGATAAAATCTTAGTGTTGCAGTTCCAAATGTGAACTTGGGTCTTTTTCTGGACAGCATCATTATTTTCTCTCAGCTTGTATTCAGCATGTACTTACATTTGAGACAAGTAAGTTGATAAATTTGATATATTTTATTTTACAACCTTGTATTTCATACTGTCTCCAGTGCATTTTAGCTGCCCAGTCAGGTGCATTGCTAAAACTAAAAAATAAACATTAAAAAATGTAATTTAATTAATGTAGGCCTGAAATCTTGTGTTATCTTTATCAGCATCTAATATTAAAGAACAGATGTTCAACCTCGATTATTCTGTTGAATATGAACTACGATTATGCAATTTTTTTCAAGATTTAGACCAAGATGGTGGAACGATCACCTGTAGGAAATAGGATCATCAGAAATTTAATTACCAAGTCAGGGTGTATTTTTCTGACCTTGATTTGCCTAACCATAAAGGTACAATGATGTGTACCTATAAGTATAAACAGATGTGCCTCGGAATGAATCTCTGCAAATGGTTGTTATTCCTCTCCTAGGTTTAGGTGAGTTCAAGTGATATTTTTTCTTTCTTTCTTTCTTTCTTTCTTGACCAATAAGTGCAATTTTCAGTTGAACACATTGTGTAGTTCTATTTTCAGAAATTTGATTTTCATGGAGATGCTCCTGGGAGAAAAGCAAGAGGCCTCACTTGCTTTTTACTCAGTAGACCAATTATCAGTATTTTGCCCTAAGGTGTTGGAGGCATTTGAATCACTTCCTGAATTTATGGTTTCCATATTTGTTTTAAATTCTCTAAGTCCATAAAGGCCAACTTTATTCTGAGGACTTGTTTAGTATATCCAGATGACTGAATAGGCAAGGTTGTTTTCAGGGCAGTAAAAGGGAAAGGCGAACAGAAATTGAAAAACTATGAGAATTTGTGTTACAGCAAATGCTGGCAATACAGTGCAAAGATGATAAAACCCTGAAAATACTTAATATGCTTGTAGACAATAAATCATTGCATTGCTGCACACCTGCATTGCTGCTGGTGTGGAAGCAGGAGAGCTGGGTTTGCCTGGTGCTGAGCAGGAGCTGACCAAGGCTGCTGGAGCAGAGCTAACTGCACAGGTTGACTCTCTGATGTCTTCATCTGTATCCGTTAGTTTGCAGCCAGTGTAACGTGCCTATGGCAAAGTGAGAGTTGAATGTATTTCTAGAGTAAAACAGAAGTGAAGTTGACATACTGGCATGTTCTCAAAGTCATTGAGGTCTCTAGGAGTATTTTCACTGACTTCAATGAGCATCTCTTGTGAATTCAGTGGTTTTGATGGGAATTGAGATTACAAATGACGCATTTCAAGCTGCTTGCCTGAGATGTTGTTAGTGCTAAGTGGTCATATCTGTATCTAGATATCTACATCTGTGGCTTACAAATATAGTAGAAAATTTATTACATATACACCCCCTCCCATGAGATCTCAAAATGAAGGCATCAAATGCTACGTGGCTTGCATGTGAGCAAATATAAGTGTTACAAAAATATGTGGGCGCAGTGTGATACACGCTCATCTGGAAATAACAGTACTCATAAGTTATATCCACAATTGACTGTAAGTGTAAGGTTACAGAAAGTATATTCAGATCTAAGGGTAAATTCAGACCTAAGCTGTTCTGTGAGGGTAACAGAGTTGTTTCTGAAACTGCTCTAGTCGTTTATATGCTGCTACCCCACAACTACGTGCTCTTAAGTGCTATAACCCCGATTCTACCTGAATTTAATAGCCGACCATGGAAATGGTTCTGTTTTGTTTCTGAGAAAAACAGGTTATTTTAAGAAATGCTTCAGCATGACCTTTTGCTTTGTGGTAAAATGGCCTTATTTCTTAGTGTTTATACAGTTCTAGAAAATGCCTTTGCCTAATTTTTCCCTTTAGTTGTGTCAGCAAATATTACTACTACTGCTAACAAAAAAAAAAAAAAGCAAACAAAAATATCCCTCAAAGGGGTTGTTTTTAACCTGAATTAACCTCTCACTTCTTTTTGGTGGATGGCTACATGGTGGTGTTGAGTGTTGGTGGATCAGGAATGAGCTGCAGGAGATAAAAGTGGAAAAGGTAGATAGTTTTTGGAGTCACCTTTACACCAGGATAATTTTTACGCAGGTTGAGCAGATGATAGAAATATTTTAGTTAAAAATCACCCCCTTAAATAAACAAAACTCTGTATAGAACTTTGAAGTGCTGACCCGACCTTCCTAATACATTAATGTAAACACTTGCAATAACAGCTTAGATTTGAACAAAAGATATCTCTTTAGTCAGTTTAACCAGTGTACACTTGTTTTTGAAATTTGAATTTCTTTATGCCTCATGTTGGGATTCCTATGTGATAAATGAGTACATGGTAAGGCATAACTGTAAGGTCTAATTTAACTTAATGTCTTTCCTACAGTAGGAGCAAAGTGAATTACAGTGGTTGATTATGCTTATTTATTTTATTGCTGGTGGTTAAGTTCACAGCATAACAGTTACAGTTAGCAATGAAACTATGGTATACCAAGCCTGGTGAAATGAAGCATATTTCGGAGAAAAATACTTCTGGAACTGAAAGCCACAATATCTTTCTAAGACAGTGTTTTTCCAGCCCTGTCCAGGGCTATGTATAATTCCAGGAAATAAACCAACAAAGGCCAGAGAAAGCATTTATTTTGGCATGAAAGCAGGGGAACATGGCTTTGGGGCCAGCTGCCCTGATGTGCTTGCAGGCTCGTGAGAGTATCAAGGGCACCTGGCGTGTACGCCTGGCACCAGTGAGAGTGGTGAGTGTGGAGAGGCAAACTTCCTACCCTGAGCAGGACTTGGATGTTAGGGGGAATATCTCCATTAGCTGAAAGCTTTCCTAGAGGTTAGATGAACCCCTCTTGAAACAAAGCTGTTGTGTAGAAGTTCTTGTAACATTTTGGTGGTTCATTGGCTTTTAAAACTACAGTGTTTCACAATATTTTCTCTAGATAACTGGTTAGCACTGACAGTAAAAGCAAAAATTAGTATTTTTTTTCTCATTTAAGGACTATGTAATTTGTTCCTGAATTACTTTAAATTCTGCATCTATCTCTGCCTACTCTAAGAGACACATTGCAGTGATTTAATTCCACTAAAAAATTGGCTGATAAAAACTTTTATTTTTTTTGTCTAGGACAGAAATAGTAATCACTAGGTTACATGGCTTAAAAATTACTATGTAAGCACACAAACACTGCAGCTTCCTTTGCAAAAGGTGAGTAAGGTCAAAAGAGTGAGGTCTGCTGTGCTTGGAGAGGGGAAGCATTGCCTTTGGCTACCTGGGTGAATTAGTTTAGCTTTTTCAATGAAACATGGGTACTTAGTAGTCAAAGAGGTATATGAAAAGTGGTAATCACAGCTATTTCAGTTCTTGGACCAGAAGGACTGTTTCAGTTCAGAGATTTATACATTAACGGTGTCTAATGACAAAATGCTTTGAGACATGACCCTAATGTGGATAGGGCAGAGTATCAAATTCTTCCTAGTGCAGGACCTAACTTGAGGGAGGATGTCAGAAAATACAAATTCTGCAGGGTGTGGAGGAGAGAGCTCTTCTTCAAGAGGTTCTCTTTCATTTTTATTGTATCTGTGAAGATGAATATGAGAGAAATATAAAACTGACAGATGGCTGAAGGAAAAAATGCAATACCTGAAAAATGAATAAATTCTTTCCTAACCACAGTGGAAAAGAGCTCCAGTTTCATGTTTCAAATGTATGTTGCACATACACCACTCCTATCCACAAAGTATAAGCAAAAGTGTAAGATAGGGACCTTGGAACCCTCCTTCAAGAGGGAACTCAATCTTGTTAGTTTCTAAAACTAAAAATATAAAACCCAGTAAAATTAATGCTTGTAATCCTGAAGCTTTGGTAGAACTCAGTAATGCCGTTGACTGGAAAGTTATATTTATTTAAAATAAAGCCCTCGTGATAATGTGGCCTAAGAGGGGAAAATGAGCTTCTGCATTTCTCCATGGCATATAATTAAAATTCTCTCGCTTAATCTTAGAAATAATGCACTTGCGCCTTCCTTGGAATGGGGAAGCGTTTTGGGAAGGCGAGAAAATGGAGCAGAATATTGTTTTAATTTGTTATTATTTGTTTTTAATAGTTGACTCTTGGCATTACAGTTGTTCTGTTTACTTGCACCTTGCTGGTTTCTGATAGCTGCCGCAGGTATGTGCGTTGCTTTGTGCCCATAACAGAGAAGCAGCCTCTCTTTAAGCTTTACGAGGGCTGGCACGCATCGTCCCTGCTTGTCAGGGCTCACGCCGTGGTTGTCTGCTGGGCCGCCCGTGAGCGAGGAGGCCGCGTGCTGCTATTTCCTCATGAGCACGTATCAAACTGTGTCCACATATTTTTGTAACACTTGTGTTTGCTTGTATGCATTAACTTTATATGACAGGTCTTTTAGGTGACCTCTCCCCTGTCCTGGCACCTATGTATGCATGTGTACCCTTTCTCCCTCCCTTTTCATTTAGTATTGTTTCTGTCAGGCAGCACTTAACAGGCAGTGAGTATTTTTATTTGAGGGCAAAAGATGCAGTCTGAAACAGTCACTGGGGCTTGAGCTTTGCTGACATGAATGAGCAGCTACTCCTTTTCCAAGCTGCTGTGCTACCTCTCAAGCATCGCTGTCAGAGCTGATTGCGTGACTATACTTTAATGCACTCCAGGCAATGTCAGCCCGGTTAAAAACATGAGAACAGCCAGGCTAGGTCAGGGTAAAAGT